CGACATTTTATCTCTGAGTAAAATTTGTTACGGTTTTTTGGGTATATACTATATGACTAGTGAGCGAGTCAAAATGACTTATTTCCCTTTATAGTCGACCAATAGAAGGTTGACCAATCAGAAGCCGCTGAACATTGTATCCGTCGTGTATAAAGGCGGCCATCTTTGTTTTCTCACCGGAAGGACCAGAGGAAAGTTGTCCGGCGAACATGACAGACGGAAGAACTATGCTCTGCTACTTTGCTGCGATATCCACTGCGAACCTGCACTACGCTGTCCTACTGTCTCCGAAATGTTCACTGCCAACCTCTGGATTCTATACCCGAAGACGACCGTCATGAAAATGTCTAACAAAATGTTGTAGCGTTGAAAGTAATTTGTCACACAGAAGAACGCAGAGACGATTTTGGAATCTGTCGTGACTGGAAAATGAAGCCTCGGCAGCTCCTGCCCATATATGGCAAGAGTACTCCATTTTTGACCCGATCTGGATGTAATGGTAAAGGTTAGCAGGAGGAGTCAGGTACTTACTGGTACACTACAAGGAACCGACCATTTTCCCAGCATCTTTAACTATGGACAGTATGTACTTGAAATATGGGTTGATTTTAGGGCCTAACAGACGATCAAGTCACGGGCCTTCCCTGAAGGAACATCAGTTTATCGTGATTGATGGTAGCTCAGGATCAGATCGGCGATTATAGAATGTTTGGTTTTCGATGTATTGAATGCAAGCAATCAGTTCCCCCCACCACCACTGAGATGTCAGAGAAGAGCTTTCTAAAGATGGATAATTATTTACATAACATCATGCGCCACTGTTAGTTGTAGATCATTTTGAATTTAGTCAATGTATCTAAATTAAATTTGGAGTTAATCTGTTGAGTAATGAATTTAAAATGAAATTAGACTTTAAGTGATTTGCGTTTTAAAATGTCAATTTGATTAAACGATTATTATTGCAAAGAGAACTTCGTTACTGGAAAATAGTTCCGTGTGCATCGCACTCGAAAATAATTAAATTGCGCAAAACGAGCGATCGAAGTTCAAAATGGCAGCCGACCGGCTTTTAGTGACGTCACTTACGATGTACTGACTGTTGTAATGCAATTAAGAAAGGCACACCTTTAAACTGCAACACAATTTTCACAGATTATGGAAGATGCGTTTAAATAGTGAAACAAAGTTTCCAAAGGTCACAATGAGAAGATTTCTAAAGCATATGATCACGTAAATTATTAATGAAACGTAAAATCATCTGATACATATCTATCTTAAAGAAATAATACTCCATGAATTTGTTTATATATATATCGTAATCAAATGCATACTAATTATAAACAAAATGAAAATATACTAAAAAAAATAGTAAATACTAATATATCCACAGCAGACCCTAGCAAAAAAATTAGGTTAATCATATACGACACTAAATCTAGTTTATCCAACTTAATTATTCGCAATGATTCTTCCCCCTCCCCGTTAGCGATTTGCAGAAAACCAACATAGTTTACAAATTCAAGTGCCCTTTGAGAGATTAATAATATTTATGTTGGTCACACCACAAACTCGCTTTCACGGCGCTTGACTCTGCATTTAAATGATAACATTTTTAGACATTTAAAACAACATACCTGCCTGCGTACTCAATTCTGAAAAATCCTTGTTGAAAACACAACTATACTTAATCATGAAAACAATAAACAAAAAAGTAAAAATTCTTGAAGCTATATACATAAAACAGTTGAAACCTAATCTGAACAAAATAAACTATGAAATCTCCACAAATATCCTTAAATGCCTATAATTTATAACAGAAGCCATTGGTTTATACCAACGATATCCCATACTAAATACTTCTCGTTTTTCACTCTCGCGTGCTCATGTGTGACGTCACGAGCTGCGACGCGATTTTGGCTGCCGCGTCTCGTATATACGAGTTTGTCGTTACTTGGAAATTTTTCATGCAGCAAGGGCGGACTATCATTGTTGTTTCGTCCGTGTGTTGTTTGAAAGATTGAAATTGTCATCTTTCATAATGGCTTGTGTAAGCCGATAGCTTAGACTGGAGTTATACATGTATCAATATGGTGTTTTCCTTTCGTCTTTCAACGATAATGTGATTAAGTTTATCAGACAATATGAAAGGAACTTACTTAAAATAAATAGACAAAACTTGTCAATATTATTTAATGAAACATACATTAATACACACACACACACACACACACACACACACACACACACACACACACACACACACACACACATATATATATATATATATAAATATATATATAGGAATTGAGCGCTCTTGGCTACTGATTAGACTGTATACGTCATGTATGTAATACGCTAGAGGATTCTCTTTTTCTGTCGTGCGCTGATAGCTCAGGAGTAGAGTCTCTGTCTAATACCAAATTGGATGTCTAGCGAAATAGGCTATATATATATATATATATATATATATATATATATATATATATATATATATATTGCGGAGATAACCTTCACTTCAAATCAATGGCCGGGGGCTATATCGGTGCGTAGGTGACTAATGAGTTCGATCTTCGCCCTGTAAAGTCTGTTGCAGTTTTGACATGGGATTCTGGTTATATATATATATATATATATATATATATATATATATAACTAGATCATTTGATTCCGCTATCTTGGTTTCAAGAAGTTGTATTGAGCACTTTTTAGTATTACTTCTTTCTGATCTAATCCAACACTGACAATTCACCTTTTCAGTCGTCGTCGTCGGTGTGCTACGGGATATATGGAGAACTACTGGCTGCCCAGACGTCTAGTTCCCCCTCTCGGCCTTACTAACAGAGTCCAAAGGAGAGGATAAACCAATACAGTTTGGTACCAGCGCGGTTGCAGGAGGTTCCGTCCATCCGCCTTAGGGGCTCCACTCCGGGTTTGAATTCAGAGTTGTCCTTCTCCTAGACTAGCTGCCATCCAAGGCTATGGAACCCAGGCTGTCCTGCTATTTACTCATAGATGGATGGAGAAGAATATGATTCAAACCTTTCCCAAGGATATTACATTAGCATGTAAGTGAATGTAATGGATTTGACTGGAATTCGAAGTCGGCTTCCTAAATCCAAGCCGCTATCCATTACTCCACCGTGCCTCCTCAACCTTTTCAGTATATATATATATATATATATATATATATATATATATATATATATATATATATATATATATATATATATATAGGGCAATCCTTAAAAATCTGTTCGGTTATAATGTATTTCATCAATATATTCAAATATTCATCTCTTCAGGTCGAAATTTTTTTTTTTTTATTAAATGGAATCAATTTGACCGGGTTGAAGAAAAAAAGAAAAAAAGGAAAAGAAAAATATTATATTAAAAGAGGAAGAACGGAACATAAAAATTTCAATATAAGGTTTAAAAAATTGCCGGGAGAGAGAAAAAGAGACGGAATGGGAAGTGTGGAGAGAGTAGGAGATAGGGTGAGCGGCAAGGAAAGAAAAGAAAGGAAAGACGGAACAATTAAGTATGAGCCGATACGGTGACCTAGAAATTATTTTTTTTCTTTAAGGGCTGAACAAGTTAAAATATATGGTAAGGGAGTGGGCCGGGTGAACAGGTTTAAATTATATACAGCGAAATGTCTAACAGACATGCCATTTTCGACAGTAAAAATAATCATCGCAATTTCAAATTAATAATCTCTCTCCCTTCCTCCTCCTCTCTTTCTTTCTCCACCACCCTCAACATTTTTTTAAACCTTATATTTAATTTTTTACTTTTATTTTTTCCTCTTTTAATATAAAAGTAAAAACTTTTTCCTTTCTTTTTCCCCTCTCCCTTTTGTCTGTACAAATTGATTCCATTTACCAAAGAAAAAAAAAAATTTCAGTCAGAAAAGATGAATACTTGAATATATTGATGAAATAAATTATAACCGAATGGAGTTTGAAGTATTATTATTATTGTAATAATAAGAATGTATATGATGATGATGATGCTCTGTTCCATTGAGCTCTCTGTGTATTAATGCCCTCCTTGGAATTATCCCTAGCAATTATCAATTGACAGCCTGTTTCATGCATAAATGCAACCGTTAGTCCTGATGTTTAAGCATGAAACGTCAATGTCCACTTTTATCTTTACGAACGTTCTATACCAGATATTCAGCATTTTAACTCATAAATATAGCATACTGTTGCAATGTTATGTTTGTTCAAAATAGCCGAGAATTAGGAAGGCCGTAGTTAGAGAGAATATCAAAGGAACAGAAGACGAGGTAAGGAAAACGAAGAAGAGGTTTATTAAAGACTTCAAAAGAAGAAGTTCAAAAAACCGCGAATTAGGAAGGCCGTAGTTAGAGAGAATATCAAAGGAACAGAAGACGAGGTAGAGAAAACAAAGAGGTTTATTAAATACTCATACATTGAACGAAAAAAAAAAAACTTGAGTAAAGTAACCACTCCTCAAATCTTACTCTAATGTAGCTATATGGGCTAGACGATTTTGAGCGTTTGTTTTGTATATATATGTGGCACCCATCTTAACCTCGGCTTTCTTTTACATCCTGTTTCATTGGGCATCCAGATAAATGACTTTAAATGCGTTACAAGTAAATAAAATCATATCATTTTTCCACGTTTCCGGTTTAATTTGATTTTAAGAATTTGTGTAGATAATTTTAAGAAGACATTTTAGCTCCTTGTTGTCTTTTTTTCCTTTGCCCCTAAACATAAAATTTAGTTCATTTTTCCCCCCTTCTTCGTATTTTTATCTTCAAAGATACTTGATTCGATTTCTTTATGTTTTTACAGTTTATCAACCCTTTACAGATTATTTAAAGCCAGAAAATAATTTTTGGAGATAATAATGAGTTACTAAAAAAATCTTGCTAATTAACCCATAGTTGGGGGAGACAATGCGGATTCATACATTTCTCATTGGTATTTGCGTGTAAGTGATTACAACGAACCCAACTAGATTTGGAAATCGGCACCTGATGTTTGCAAATGGTCACCCATCTAGGTACTGACTAGGTTCGGAGATTCTTAACTTCGGAGTTCCTACGAGAACCCATGTTTCGTTATGAGATAGCATTAAGACATTTTGAAAATGACTAGTTTTGAGGACAAATAAATTTAATTTTATAGTTTCTTTTTTTTTCCTCGTGAACATTTTATTTTATATTCAACCAATGTCACCCATGAATATAATTTATTCTATTTATATATATATATTTTCTATATTATCTCTATTTTTTTTATGAATGCATTCTTTTCATCCCCAGAATTCTAGACCGGGTAAAAAGTGTTGTCTAATCACATGTAATTACCCAGATAGAATATTTTTTGCACTTAGAGAGGGACGGTTACTATTAAGTGTCCCGTAACCACTGACAGTCGCAGGAACAACGCGTATACTGCAGCCGCAGCAAAAGTTTTATGACTTGTGCAATATAGCCTGACGGGGTCCAACCTTTTATATCTTATATTAGCAGTAGAGCCCGGCGTTGCCCGGGGATATAACAGTAAGAGATAGATCAAAGATTATTGTTTAAGGTTGACGGACACGCATGTCTTAATTAGTTTTTTTTTTCTTTTTTTACGAATTGGTCAAACCCAAACTCAAACAAAAACATTGTTTTCAGTCGTTATGAGTCTACCGATTGAATAGAATTTTATTATAAACAATTGTCTTGCAAATGGAATTTTTTAAGCATTCTGAATGTAAAAATAAAGAAAAAAGTGTGCAAGACAATAAGAAACACTACCTGCCCAAAAAAAGTGAAGTTTTGTTGAAATCGGTTGAAAAATGTAGGAAATCCGATCCCATATATAAACGAACACACACACACACACACACACACACACACACACACACACACACACACACACACAACCTGGGATTAATAATAAGTATAACTCGATATGAGTTGTCCCCTTTCATTCTCGTGATGCCTCTTAATCGTGTTTTCAAATTGATTTCGTGCAAAAAAAATTGTGTTTTTCCAATTTTGGGCGCTGTCAGAACCACCGATCCAATATATAAACGTACAGACACACACACGCACACACACACACACACACACACACACACACACACAATCTGCGTTTTATAATAAGTAAGATATATATATATATATATATATATATATATATATATGCATTCGGATCCGTCCTACGATTACAAAAATCAAGGGGGAGGATGATCATGATCATCATGATCATGATCATGAAGAAGAAGAAGAAGAAGAAGAAGAAGAAGAAGAAGAAGAAGAAGAAGAAGAACAACAACAACAACAACAACAAAATGTAGTTAATTTTTGCACGTTCTTTGAATTTTTTTCTTCAAAGTTACTTGAGAATTCTTAATTGTTTTTTTTTTTTTGCGGGGTTTTACAGCTTAGAAAATTTTCGCCTTGGTGGTTATTTTTTTGTAGGACACCAGGATCCTTTTCTTGCCACTCTGAAACGGAGAAAAATGGCGTAGTTTGGACACATTACAAGGCATAATAGCCTGCACAAGACCATCATGCAAGGCACCGTTGAATGTGGATGGAGGAGAGGTCGCTAACCCAAAAACTACTCGTCATGACTGTAACAGAATTGCTGATGGCTGCCGTTGATAGAACGTTATGGGAAAGAGTTAGTATGGCCTCTGCATTTAAACCCACCCTATGATTACAAAATTCTAGGGGATTATGATGATGATAATGATGATAAAAATGTAGTCAATTTTTTAACGTTCTTTGAATTTTTTGTCTTCAAAGCTACTTGAGAATTCGATTTTTTTGTTTTTTACAGCTTATCAGCCCTTTGGATGTTATTTAAATCCAGAAAAAATATTCTAGCTTGTAAGAATTTTTTTGAGATAATAATAATTTATTGAGATAAATCCTACTAATTAACCCATAGACTAAGGGGATTCATATCTTTCCAAAATGTATTTACCCCTAAGTGAATACAACAAACGCTACTGGAAATGGTACTCGGCCCATGATTTTCATAAGTGGTCACGTATCTAGTTATTAACCAGGCATGATGTTGCTTAACTTCGGTAATCGGACGAGAACCCGTATTTCAACGTGATATTGACATAACTTAATTTCATTTTACAGTTTCTTATGATATTTTTTGTTTCCTCGTAAACAAGTTATTTTATATTCAACCAATGTGACCCATATATATTATTTAATCTATTTAGTTCGAGAAAACGTTGATTTTATTTTATTAATGCATTTTTTCCTCTTCAGAACTCCAATCGGTTAAAAACTATGTCCAATCTCAAGGAACCCAGCTAGCTAACACAATTTTTATTGCACTTAAACAAGGAAGGTCAGAATCTGTCCCCGATGCCTGAGGCGCTCCAAAAGGGGAGTGCCAACAGAGACGCAGACATTCCCGACACTAATCTCATTTACACATGGGATTCTTAATTTTATATTCTGCCTTGTGGCGTATATTTCGTTTGAGTGTGTCTAAGATAAATTGGCGTTCCACTTGTTTAACGGTTAACAGTGTATAAAATGGAATCAGCGATACGTTTTCGAATTCCGGCTGAGGCGACTTGCGTTCAATTCTCACGATTATTTTGAAAAAGCAAACATAAAAAAATACAAAACAACCCCCCCCAGCAGGCAGTTATGGGGCTAATTAGCCCTCGACTCTTGATTGGCAAGCAATCTAGAAGTAGAAGAAACCTGAATTCGAAACCTTCTTGAGAGCAACTTGGAAAACAACTTCTCCATCTTTTCCACAATAACAGAACTTACGGCCGTATCACGTAGAAAAACACCGGCTCCTGTACAATCACCGAAGTTAAGCAACGTTGAACCTGGTCAGTACTGTGATGGATGACCGCTGCGGAATACCAGGTGCTGTAAGATTGGATGTGCGTGTGGTGTAATGGATAACGACTTAGAATGTATAAAATTGAATGAAATGAATACATTTTTCCTTAGGTTTCTTTTTTTTTTTTTTTTTTTTTTTACTAGATTAATTTCCAGGGGTATATATTAGTAGCACTGTTCCTTGAAGGTAATGAGAGTTAGGGAGAAGAGAGAGAGAGAAGGGAGAGAGAAAGACGAAAAAGAGAGGGGAGAGAGAGAGGGGTGAGAGAAAAGAAGAGAAGAGAGAGCGGAGATAGAGAGGAGAGAAAGAAGAGAGAGAGTGAGAGAGGGGAGAAAGAAGAGAGACGGGAGCGTTTTTGAGTTAACGACAAGAAAAAAATTGGAACTCTTGTTGGTCATTCGTCCCCCATTACTGCCATCATGAATACTGATTCACCGCGTAGTACTTCCGGTGGCCTTTGGCCTATTTACTTCTTTTACAGACTTTCCTTGCAGAAAATCACTACGCACTACCGTAAAGAAATGTAATTTTTTTTTTTGGTAAGTGTAGTTTTATTTATAACAAAAACAAATTAAATAATACAATAGAACCTTTTTTTCCGTTTCGAATAGCAATGACCAATTAAAAGAACAAATTAAATGATAGAAATAAAGCATTTTTTTTATATTTTAAAATTGAAAATAAAAAAAAAATAACGCACAAACTTGGTAAATCAATTTAATGTTTTTTTTTTTTTATTTTTTAATTTGTCCCCTTTTCTACACAGAAAGAGAACCCTATAGCTAACCTAAACACCTAACCTTAAAGTTAACCCGGTTTATTGTATTATTTAATTTTTTTTTAATTTGTCCCCTTTTCTACACAGAAAGATAACCCACCCTAACCTTAACACCTAACTCTAAAGTTAACCCGGTTTAATGTATTATATGATTTTTTTTATTTGTCCCCTTTTCTACACAGATTAACTTTAGGGTTATGTGTTAAGGTTAGAGGTGGGGTTTTCTTTCTGTGTAGAAAAAGGGACAAATTAAAAAAAATAAATAATAAAATAAACCGGCTTAACTTTAGGGTTAGGTGTTAGATTTAGGGAGGATTTTTCTTTCTGTGTAGAAAAGCAGACAAATTAAAAAAAAATAATACAGCCAACCCTTCTACTTTTACCAAGTTTCCTGTTATAAATAAGACTACACTTATCAAAAGAAAAAAATACGATAATGCGTAGTGATTTCAAAAAGAGACATAGCTGTAAAAGAAGTAAATAGGCCACAATTCAAACTGCTTTAGTATCAAGTGAAACGGCCAACACTTTGTCGGAAGTGTAGGGGCGATGAAACAATGTTTAGGAGAGATGCCAAAGAGAAAACGTTATTAAGAACTACAAAGGAGAAAAAATTGTGGAGAGCCATGATTTCTTACACACATTATTGTCTTTGTCACTTGTAATCCTTTACATTATCATTTGTTTGTACATATCGCTTCGTGTTTTTTCTATATATTCCTTTACATGGACACACATCCGGAATCTGCCATATTTGTTGTGGGTATTTCAGGAGACTTACGTGTTTATATCTCAACGCGTACACCGACACGCAACAAACTGTCTATTGATCCGAATGTACTTCATTTAAGTTTCATTATGAATCGTTGATTACATTTACGTCTCGTCAGATTGTCAGTGAGTCGAACTACTTTAGTACCACGTGAAACAGCCAACACGTTGACTGGAAGAAATGTACCTTTTCTCTAAAGCGCTCTCTGACGATTGAAGAAATACTGCCGGGGGTGCATAATGAAATCAGACGAGTGGACAATATTCTGTCTCTTTGCCATATCGAAATCGAGATGTCGATCCAGGTTTATATCCCCAAGTCACGTCAATAAATAAGGTTAAGTGTTGCTTCGTTTCAATTTGCGTTGATAGTTCAATAAAGGCGTCATCGATGGACGTCTTTGCCTGAAGTGAATTAAAATGGCGTTCTCTAACTTTAAAAACAAAAATGAAGCAATCAATGTATTCAGACTTACGGGTTAAAAATATTGACGTCGTATTTACTGACTAGCCAATTCCAGTTGAGTTCCTTAGATTCTGTAGTGACATAGGCAAAATGAACTTTCTCTATTTTGCAATAATAAATCAGTCGTCAGTCGGTAATGAAGTAGAACATCTACGTCATAAACTAGAAGACGTCACATCACAAAGACTTCCGGTAAAGGCTTGAATCCAACCTTTCTCCTCCAAGTTATGGGTAAATAGCAGGACAGACTTGGAGAAGGTCAATTCTAAATTCATCCCAGGCTGGAGATTGTTGGGCATCATCAGGCTATTTCGCCGAATACACGCTACGCCTACCGGTGGTGATCCTATGGGAAAAGTGACCGTGAATTAATTTGAACGGTACATAGAATAAAAGAATGAGCTGGGGTAAAGGGATGGCGGAACAAGGTTTACAAAAATTTAAAAAAAAATCTATTACAAGTTACGAAGGATAGGAAGTTGGGAAGAGCCATAGTTCTGGAGGGAGACGGCACATAGAAAAAGATGGCGAAATAATAGTTTTCTTTTAATAGAAATATGTGCCTAGTAAAGAAAACATATGATAAAGGAAAATTAAACTTAACAACAAACACTTAAAAAAAATGAATTAAATAAAAATATCGTTAAAAAAAAAGAAATGCTGGACAATCTCCTCACAGATGAAGAAGAGACTTTAAGCGACAGAGATGTGGTTCTACTGACGAGTGTCCTTAGAAGCAAAGAAGAGAGTGTTGGACGGCTATGTAATATCTAATCTCCTATATGGCAGTGAATGCTGAACAATCTCCTCACAGATGAAGAAGAGACTTGAAGCAACAGAGATGTGGTTCTACTGACGAGTGTCCTTAGAAACAAAGAAAAGAGTGTTGGACGGCTATGTAATATCTAATCTCCCATATAGCAGTAAATGCTGAACAATCTCCTCACAGATGAAGAAGAGACTTGAAGCGACAGAGATGTGGTTCTACTGAAGAGTGTCCTTAGAAAAAAAGAAAAGAGTGTTGGACGGCTATGTAATATCTAATCTCCCATATGGCAGTGAATGCTGGACAATCTCCTCACAGATGAAGAAGAGACTTGAAGCGACAGAGATGTGGTTCTACTGAAGAGTGTCCTTAGAAACAAAGAAAAGAGTGTTGGACGGCTATGTAATATCTAATCTCCCATATGGCAGTGAATGCTGGACAATCTCCTCACAGATGAAGAAGAGACTTGAAGCGACAGAGATGTGGTTCTACTGACGAGTGTCCTTAGAAGCAAAGAAAAGAGTGTTGGACGGCTATGTAATATTTAATCTCCCATATGGCTGTGAATCCTGGACAATCTCCTCACAGATGAAGAAGAGACTTGAAGCGACAGAGATGTGGTTCTACTGACGAGTGTCCTTAGAAACAAAGAAAAGAGTGTTGGACGGCTATGTAATATCTAATCTCCTATATGGCAGTGAATGCTGGACAATCTCCTCACAGATGAAGAAGAGACTTGAAGCGACAGAGATGTGGTTCTACTGACGAGTGTCCTTAGAAACAAAGAAAAGAGTGTTGGACGGCTATGTAATATCTAATCTCCTATATGGCAGTGAATGCTGGACAATCTCCTCACAGATGAAGAAGAGACTTGAAGCGACAGAGATGTGGTTCTACTGACGAGTGTCCTTAGAAGCAAAGAAAAGAGTGTTGGACGGCTATGTAATATCTAATCTCCTATATGGCAGTGAATGCTGGACAATCTCCTCTCAGATGAAGAAGAGACTTGAAGCGACAGAGATGTGATTCTACTGAAGAGTGTCCTTAGAAACAAAGAAAAGAGTGTTGGACGGCGATGTAATATCTAATCTCCTATATGGCAGTGAATGCTGGACAATCTCCTCACAGATGAAGAAGAGACTTGAAGCGACAGAGATGTGGTTCTACTGAAGAGTGTCCTTAGAAACAAAGAAAAGAGTTGGACGGCTATGTAATATCTTAATCTCCCATATGGCAGTGAATGCTGAAAATCTCCTCACAGATGAAGAAGAGACTTGAAGCGACAGAGATGTGGTTCTACTGACGAGTGTCCTTAGAAACAAAACTTGAAAAGAGTGTTGGACGGCTAAGAAAAGAGTGTAATATCTAATCTCCTATATGGCAGTGAATGCTGGACAATCTCCTCCTACAGATGAAGAAGATGAAGACAGAGATGTGGTTCTACTGAAGTGTCCTTAGAAACAAAGAAAAGATGTGAATGTAATATCTAATCTCCTATATGGCAGTGAGTGTCCCTCACAGATGAAGAAACTTGAAACAGAAAACGAGTGTCCTGAAACAAAAGAAAAGAGTGTTGGACGGCTATGTAATATCTAATCCCTATATGGCAGTGAATGCTGGACAATCTCCTCACAGATGAAGAAGAGACTTGAAGCGACAGAGATGTGGTTCTACTGACGAGTGTCCTTAGAAACAAAGAAAAGAGTGTTGGACGGCTATGTAATATCTAATCTCCATATGGCAGTGAATGCTGAACAATCTCCTCACAGATGAAGAAGAGACTTGAAGACAGAGATGTGGTTCTACTGACGAGTGTCCTTAGAAACAAAGAAAAGAGTGTTGGACGGCTATGTAATATCTAATCTCCTATATGGCAGTGAATGCTGGACAATCTCCTCAGATGAAGAAAAGAAAAGACAGAGATGTGGTTCTACTGACGAGTGTCCTAGAAACAAAGAAAAGAGTGTTGGAAATATCTAATCTCCTATATGGCAGTGAATGCTGGACAATCTCCTCACAGATGAAGAAGAGACTTGAAGCGACAGAGATGTGGTTCTACTGACGAGTGTCCTTAGAAACAAAGAAAAGAGTGTTGGACGGCTATGTAATATCTAATCTCCTATATGGCAGTGAATGCTGGACAATCTCCTCACAGATGAAGAAGAGACTTGAAGCGACAGAGATGTGGTTCTACTGACGAGTGTCCTTAGAAACAAAGAAAAGAGTGTTGGACGGCTATGTAATATCTAAT